CTGGCTCACCTCTGCCTGCTCCTTCTCCTTACGCTGAGCAGACAGGGGGCCTTACTGAGCGTCGTGAGCCTGCGTCGCGTCCTGTCCCACCTGTCCGTTCTGGTCGTTCCAGTCGTTGTGTTCCTCGTCAGCGTCAGCCGGCTGTCCCCGGCCCTTCCCTTGTAGTCCGTCGTCCTTCCTCTCCTCCGCAGAGTGTTCCTCTACCGTCCCCGCTTGCGTCCTCTCTACCTGTCGTTGCTGACCCTGAGTCTGACCGGTTTCGTGTTGAGCACCCTACTGTAACGCGTCTGCTAGCCACTGTTGTCGCCGACCCGTCGTTTGAGTCTGCTGTTGCGTCTGCCTTAGTCGCTGAGCTTGTTGACTTTGCTGCTGCCTGTCGTCTAGACTACATTGCTAGTCTTGTTACTGAGCCTGAGTCTGTCTGTCCTCCGTCCGTCGGGGGTGAGTGTGCTCTTGGCACGCACGTCCTTGAAGACAGGCAGGAGGACCTTGAGTGTCTTGCAGCCGTTGCGCCTCATCTCGTACCCATGCTGCTTGCCCCTGAGGGAGACCCGGATGCACCAGACATCCCGACTCCTCGATCGTACGCTGAGGCGATCGAGGGTCCCTACTCCTCTCAGTGGCAAACAGCCATGGACGCAGAGATGGCATCCTCGAAGTCCACAGGCACCTACGTTGACGAGGTTCCCCCTCCTGGGGCGAACATTGTCAGTGGCATGTGGATTTTCAGGGTGAAGCGACCGCCAGGTTCTCCGCCTGTCTTCAAGGCTCGTTACGTTGCTCGAGGCTTCAGTCAGCGAGAGGGAGCTGACTTCTTCCAGGCCTTCTCCCCCACCCCGAAGATGACTACTCTTCGGGTGCTGCTGCACATAGCCGCTCAGCGTGACTACGAGCTTCACTATCTTGACTTCAGCACAGCGTTCTTACAGGGCAGCCTGCACGAGGAGATCTGGCTGCGCCGTCCACCTGGCTTCACTGGGTCGTTCCCTCCTGGTACCCAGTGGAGCCTCCGACGGCCAGTCTACGATCTCCGCCAAGCGCCACGTGAGTGGCACGACACACTAAGGGCGACTCTTGCGGCTCTTGGGTTTGCCCCGTTGACTGCTGACCCATCGCTGTTTCTGCACACCGACACTTTGCTGCCGCCGTTCTACATCCTCGTGTACGTCGACGACTTGGTCTTTGCCACTGCTGACACTGAGGCGCTCGCCCTGGTGAAGTCGGAGTTGCAGAAGAGACACACGTGCACAGACCTGGGTGAGCTCCGCAGCTACCTTGGCCTGCAGATCACCCGGGACAGAGCACGCCGCACCATCACACTGACTCTGTCACACATGGTAGCAGGTCCTTCAACGCTTTGGCTTCACGTGATCCTCAGCACAGGCCACTCCTCTGGCTACAGGTCACTCGCTCTCAGCTCCACCTTCGGACGAGTCCGTAGAGCCGAGTGGTCCTTACCCAGAGCTAGTGGGCTGCCTCATGTACCTGATGACCTGCACTCGTCCTGACCTTGCGTACCCTCTTGGCCTTCTGGCTCGCTACGTGGCTCCTGGTCGGCACCGAAAGGTCCACATGGATGCTGCTAAGAGGGTACTGCGCTACTTGTGCAGTACATCGGGCATGGGGCTCGTGCTTGGAGGACGGGATGACGTTGTCCTCACTGGTCACTCGGACGCCTCTTGGGTTGACGACTAGGCTACGCAGCGGTCGTCACAGGGTTACACCTTCAGCCTTGAATCTGGTTCAATTTCCTGGCGTTCCACACGCTCGTCTTCAGTTCTCGGCTTTAGTTGTGAAGCCGAGATCTACGCCACAGCCATGGCTGCACAAGAGCTACGCTGGCTCACCTACCTGCTGACCGACTTGGGAGAGCGGCCTCGTTCTCCTCCAGTGCTGTACGTCGACAACAAGGCCGTCATTACCTTGTGTCAGGAGCACAGACTGGAGCACAGACTGGAGCACAGAACGAAGCACATCGCTTTGCGTTACTTCCTTGCTCGAGAGCTGCAGCAGCGTGGTCAGCTTCGTCTTGCTTACATGGCCACTCGGGCCAACACTGCTGATATATTCACCAAGGCACTTCCGCCTGGTGATCATCAGCGTTTCTGTACTTTGTTAGGCCTTGTGTGTCAGAATGTTATAATTGTCTAGCCTGGAGTGGGGTACTCTATAGCGAGTACAACCCAATTAGGGTTTCCTATATGTATGCCAGCTGCTGCTAGTCCAACCCTCTCTTCTTCATTCCTCATTTTTTCACATGCTATCAGAGCATCTACGCTCCTAGCCTGTGAGCCCACCCATCTGCTTCCGCTGCTACTCTGTGTGCTTCACGCCCCGTGGCGTGCCCCTAGCGGCCCCGTCGCCGCTCCTATCGGCCTCGTCGCCGCTCTTAGCGGCCCTTTCGCAGCCCCTACCGGCCCCGTCGCCGCCTCCATCGGCCCCGTCGCCGCCCCTAGCGGCCCCGTCGCCGCTCTTCGCGGCCCTGTCGCCAACCTCGCGGCCCCGTCGCCGCCCTTCCAGGCCCCTCGCGGCCCCTTCGCGGCCCCGTCGCCGCCCCTTGCGGCCCCGTCGCCGCCCCTTTCGGCCCTGCCTCGACCCTGCCCCGGCCCCGCCCCGGCCATGCTCCGTTGCCTGTCACGGCGCATAGGGGGCACGTGCCCCGCCCCCCCTTCTTTTCCCGTGGCCTGTCGAGGCGACTTGGGGGGGGAGGCGAGCGTCGCCCCTTCTGCCACCTGTTATGGGCGCCCTGGGAGGCCGCGCGTCGCCCCCCCCCCCCCCCTTCCTCCCCCCCCCCCCCCCCGTAACCTCCCTACCCGCCGTCCCGCCCTGCCCTGTGTTAGGGTCTGGGGGTGGCGAGTATGGGGTGGCGGGTGTGTGGTCTCCCCTGCTCCTCCTCCTCCTCTGTCTCCCACTGCTGGAGCTGCCGCTGAGGGGGGTGGGTGTGTGGGAGTCCACGGAGTGGTGCTAGGGGGTGGGGTGTGAGTGAACTTAGGGTGCAGCAGGGTGTGTGTGAAAGGGGGGTGCTGTGGGAGTAGAACTAGGGTTTGAGCAGGGGGTGTGTGTCGAGAGGTGTGGGGCAGCTGGAGGAGGTTGTGTGAAGGTAGCTGTCGTGTCGCCTGCAGCGCCTGTAGTCCGTCGCCCTTGCTTCGGTAGCCAGTGATCCTATTGCACCAGTCGCCAGTGGGTCCGTTGCTCCTGCCGCTCGTCTATAGCCGCGGAGCCAGTTACTCCAGTAGTCCGTCGCCCTTGCTTCGGTAGCCACTGAGTCAGGCGCTCCTGTGCCCGTGCCTCTGCAGCTTCAGTCGTTGCCTCCCATCCTCTCTCCCTCCACAGTTCCTCCTCCTCCTCACTTGCCCGCTGTGATTAACTCTAGCTTTGCTCGCTATTGTGAACTCCTGCTCTATGCCTGCTTGCTCATTGTGCTGATTACACCCCACTTTGGCTATGGGGGTGTATCAGAATGTTATAATTGTCTAGCCTGCAGTGGGGTACTCTATAGCGAGTACAACCCAATTAGGGTTTCCTATATGTATGCCAACTGCTGCTAGTGCAACCCTCTCTTCTTCATTCCTCATTTTTTCACATTGTGCCCACTCTTCCCCACTTGCTGTAGGCTTTACTTGTACTGTGATTTATATTTATATATATATATATATATACCTGCCTGCTTGCTCTGGTAGGTAGTGATCACAGTATTGTTGTTGTGAACTGGCCTTGTGGCCTTTTGCCTGTGCTCGGACTGCGTGGTGACCAGGCCCTCAGATTGGTTTAAGGGCGTGCTGATGGATCAGCGTGCCCTGGCCAAAGTAGTGACCAAATCAGCGTTGGGGGTGAAGTTTAAGCTGGTTTTGTCAGGGTAAAATTTCATGGCTAACTGATTTTCCAGTGTTAAAATTATGTTGGACATCGTAACCAGTACTTCTAACGTAGCTGTCCAAGGCTTTGTCTGTATTAAAGAGGTCACGGCTTCAAGTCCCGCGAGTGAGAGATTTTCTAGTGCGTGGCAGTGATTTTCGACCTTAGACCCCACGTCTGCGCACCCTTATCCTGTCCCCTATGCATTTTGGTAAGTCCGAATTAGTGTGACTCAGTACACTATACTGATGGTTCAGTGTAACTGGTACACCAATACACTAATTCGTCAGGGTAGTCCTAGACTTTAAACTGAAAAAAAAGTGCAAAAATAAAGAAACTGAAATTTCAGGGAAAACGAAAATCACAGCGACAAAATCAGCCTAATCAGCGTGTTTTACGCTGATATCTGAGGGCCTGGTGGAGACGTTGTGATCCACCCTGAGCTTGCTTTGCATTTCCTGACTGGTCTTGTGACTCTCTGTTCCCCCCCACTTTGCCTATGGGGGTGTGTCAATTATACTTGGATGATTATAATTGGGTAGGCTGTAGTGGGGTTAGCCTTAGTGGGTACAAAAACAACCTCGACACTCTAGTCTCTTCCTAGCAACATCATTCCCTTTGCCTTAGTCTCAACAACATTCGCCTTGGCCTTCTTCCTGCGCTGCTTCTCTGCTGGAGTTGCTTCATCAGCTGAAGATACTGGTGCTGGTGTTACTCCTCTTCTATTGCAAGTTCCACGAAACATTTTACAAAAATTCCAGGCAGCTACCCAGATCTGTAGCAAACAGGTGTCACACATGCGGGTCTCAGGACCTTGGCGTTTTTCCTTGCTCTCTTCCATCCCACCGTTTTATCAAATGTGCAATGCTGTCTGGAGCTGCAGTTTGCTGAGCCTGCCAACAACAGCAGCTAGTGTTCCTGGAACGAACAGCTGAGGGTGCTACCACACCATCGGTTGATTGGTTGATTGCACGATGAGCACAGATGACTGCTGTCCAGTAATGTTGAAATTTCAGTCTATCATATATAGTAATGTAGGATGTCTGGGAAAGCATGGCCGACTGTCCTAAATTGTGGATCAGAACCGAGTAAGATGGTCGACAGCTGCCATGTTATCTACGAAACAGCTAGAAAAGGCATATGTATCAGCATCGCACTGGGGGAACGGCAGCCAGCTTAAGCAGTGATGATGCACTGGAAGCACACACCATCATCCGCAATCACCCGGTACACCCAGCTGTATCTCATCTCTGATATGATTCTTCTCCTGGTAGTCTCGCCAACTCACGCCGTTAATACTTCGTCCACATAAGCCTGCTCAGACCAACGTAATCAATGTCGTTCTTCAGATCGCCAACGAACGGCGACGATGGCGTCCACGTGGCAATATAGTTCCCCTTGGCCTTGATCGTCTGTGTCGCACGGTCGATCAGCGTGTACGACCCCTCGCAGTAGATCTCCTTGAGATCATTGGACGGCCCCGATTCCACGCCATTCCCGGAAGCGGGACCGACGGTGGAGTCCTTTGCAATGGAGATGCCGGTGATGGTGTGCGTGATGGTGAGGTTCTTATCCACCAGGACCTTGAGAGCTTGCTGCTTTTCCATTGGGCTATACAGCGACATCGGTTCGGCGTGAGACGGGTAAAGCGTGACGAAGGTTGCGAAAATGCGCGAGGCGAAGAGCAGGTTACCAGCGCTCAGCGCAGTGATGGCCTGAGAGGTGGCGCTTCGGATGAGAAACTTGAGGTACTCTGGGGAGTAGCCCTGTACTGCCACTTGCTGGAGCTTATCTGTCGGCAATGCCAGCCGGGACGGCGCTGGAAGACGCCCGGCATTGACGCTCGCGACAGCTGCCAGAGCCAAAGATAGGAGAAAGAAACGTGAGACAGCCATGGCGGTGCAAGATATCTTTGATTAATTCGAAAGGCAAGCGGAGGTGTATCGAGGTTCCGGCTAGGTTGTGTACTTCTGATGAACGTAATGGGCTGGGCTCATATGCTGTGCGTTGGAGGGGGGGGATTCAGCGTTCAGGTGATTTGTGGGTCAACACACGAATCGTGTTTCGTGCTGCGCGTCCCACTGCTCGTCACTTGCCCCGATTCCCATGTTTCTCGTCACTTGCGCGAGGCGCAGACTACAGTATTGCTGCCAGTCACAACGTAAACTGCGTGATGTGAACATCACCGTGGGTCCACCAAGTGATGGGAATGCCTTCTGATTCGCCCTTGAGAGTGATGCTGTCAGCAACACATGTCAACTTCATCGCTATGTGGCATCGAACCTGTTTTCTGGAACGCCCAATGAAGTTCTCCATGGCACGACCATAAACCACGTAACTTGTCAAGCGACTTCGTGCAAAAGCTCTGACGAGAATGAGTGTTGGTCGCCCACTTTCGCCATTTCGTGTCAAACTGTTCTTACAGGAAACATGCAACCCTCAACTGCCGTCCCCGGTACAAGACTAAGGGTGCCTGATTTGTACTAACTTAACTTTGCCTAAAATGTCATCAAGGATTTACTCTGGAACATTGATATTTTTCACTTTATCAATGATTTTTTTCCATAATTTCTTACATTTTCGCCTAACTGAATCATGCAAAATACTATTTGTTATTATGTTTGTCCATGACATGCTATATTGAGATAGATAGTAGGGAGTAAAACCCTTTTAGGATTGGTATACGTTTCACAACTCTTACTCTTAGGGTAATTGTGAGAATCACGAGGAATGATTGACTAAGAAATGAGTGTAATACAAATGTGAAACCCTAGAATTGTGTACCCCTTAGTATCTAACCCGCTACAGCTTACACAGGCTAGATCAAGTCTGACACACCCCCATAGGCAAAGTGGGGGAGAACAAGGGGTCACAAGACCAAACAAGCAAAGTAAAGCAAACTCAGGGTGGATCACAACGTCACCACACATTCCGAGCACAAGTTCAAGGCCACAAGGCCAGTTCACATGCAAGATCATATATAAAGGTAAACAAGCAAGTGCATGTATAGAAAGATCACAGTACAAGCAAGGTCAAGAAGTGAGCAAGAGATGAGAAAACTAGAACGAGAATGAATGCACTATGAAAGAGTTGGGTACAAGTACTAGCCCTAATTGGGTTGTACCCCATATGGGCTACCCCACTACAGCCTACACAAAAGCATAAGCTATAATGTTCTGACACACCCCCATAGGCAAAGTGGGGGAGTACAAGGGGTCACAAGAAAAGTCCAGCAAAGCAAAGCAAAGCAAGCTCAGGGTGGATCACAAAGTCACCACACATTCCGAGCACAAGGTCAAGGCCACAAGGCCAGTTCACATGGAGGAGTACATATATATATAAAAGGCTAGACAAGCAAGAGCAGGTGTATATATATATGTAACAGTACAAGCAAGGTCAAGAGGTGAGCAAGTGAGGCAAGGCAGGCACAAGACCCAGCTGAGTACAGAAGTGCTGATGATGACAAGGCGCAAGCGACTTGGTGAAGATATCAGCAGTGTTGGCCTCAGAGGCCACGTACGCAAGACGCAGCTGACCACCCTCAGCGGCTATGTGCAGCAGCACCTGAAGAGTGGTCATCGTCAGGGTGGGAGAGAAGGTCTGAAAGTAGTCAACTCCCTGCCGCTGACTGAAGCCTTGAGCCACGTAACGCGCCTTGAAGACAGGCGGAGAACCCGGCGGCCGCTTCACCCTGAAAATCCACATGCCACTGACGATGTTCGCCCCAGGCGGGGGAACCTCGTCAACGTAGGTGCCTGTGGACTTCCAGGAAGCCATCTCTGTGTCCATAGCTGCCTGCCACTGAGAGGAGTAGGGACCCTCTATCGCCTCCACGTAAGAGCGCGGAGTCGGGAGGTCAAGTGCATCCGGGTCTCCCTCAGGGGTAAGCAGTACGGACACGAAATGAGGTGAAGCAGCAGCCAGACACTGGAACTCCTCCTGCCTGTCTCAAGGACGTCCGTGCCAAGGGCACACTCACCTTCGACGGACGGAGGACAGACAGACTAAGACTCAGCGACAAGACTAGCAGCGAAGTCTAGACGACAGCGAGCAGCAAAGTCGACGAGCTCAGTAACTAGGGCAGACGCAGCAGTGGACTCAAAGGAAGGGTCAGGGACGACAGTAGCAAGGAGACGCATGACAGTAGGACTGGCAGCACGAAGAGAGTCCGACTCCGGGTCGGCAAGAGTAGGAAGGGAGGACTCAGGAGGAGAAGGCAAAGGGGCACGTAGAGGAGCAGTGGACGGACGCAGAGACATCCGGTGCGTGCCAGGGACAAGAGGAGGACGCTGACGCGAACCACGACCACAAGTGCGAGCAAGGCGGACAGGCGACGTAGGGCGAGACGCAGGCTCACGACGCTCAGCAAGACCTCCAGTAGGACCAGTGTAGGGGGAAGGAGCACGCAGTGGGGAGGCCGGCTTTAATTGTGACGGGACAGGCTGTGGACACTCTAAGGGAGGAGAAGGACCAGTAGAAGGCGGGAGACCAAGAACCTGCTGAAGGAGCCGAACGAAGTACGGCCGAGGCCGCGCGGCGACTCCAGACACAGCAAAGACAGCACCAGTACCCCCAGCGGCAGCACCAGCGCCATCAGCACCTCTAGCTCCAGTACCTCCAGCAGCACCAGTAGTACCCCCAGCAGGACCGCCTCCAGGACCGACAGCAGTAGCCTCAACGCCAACACCCTCAGCAGCTCCAGCTCCAGTCGCACCCGCAGGCCCAGCAGCTCCAGTACTCCCAGCACGAGCACCTCCGGGACCCGCAGCACCAGCACCCTCAGCAGCCGGAGAACCTCCAGCTCCAGCAGCACGCCTCTAGCGCCGGGCAAACCACTCACGCAGCTCCTGTGGAGAGAGGGGCTCCCGTCGAGACGAAGCACCCGGAGAACCTCCGGGCCCAGCACCGCCAGACGTAGCACCCCCAGGCTCAGCATCCCCAGGCTCAGCACCCCCAGTCGCAGCACCCTCGGGCTCAGCATCCCCAGGCTCAGCTACCCCAGTCGCAGCACCCCCAGGCTCAGCACCCCCAGTAGTAGCAACCGCAGGCTCAGCACCCCCAGGCGCAGCACCTACATGCTCAGCACCCCCAGAGTCAGCACCCCCGGGCTCAGCAACCTCAGCAGCACCAGAGTCACCAATAACCTCGACAGCCTTGAGTGCGTCTACATGGGACACACCTGAAGGGGCAGGACCCTGAGGGGGGAGGGGTTCTACTGGGGGGGGACCTGGTACAAGAAAGAGCGGTGGTGGGGGGAGGGACGGAGTGCGGTAGGGGAAGAGGCGGTAGTTGGGGACCGACTCGTCAAACATGACGTCCTGGGAGGACAGAACACGGCGAGAGGTGGGGTGATAGAACTGTCACCCTGGCGCGTCAGGGGGGAAGCCAAGGAAGACGCAAGGAGTAGCACGAGGGGACAGCTTGTTCGCAGACAAGTCGCGAACAAACGCCCGAGATCCCCAGACACGGAACGCAGACGCATCGCCAACCTTCCCTGTCCAAAGCAAAGCTAGGGAGGTCTCCGACATGGAGACCCTGGGGTGAAGGTTGATCTGATGCGCCGCGTACCGAATCGCAAACAGCCACAGAAAATGGGGGGCAGCCGCATGCATCATGGACGTACAAGCGACGTCCATGACCATGCCAATGCGGCGGTCAGCAATCCCATTTTGCTGTGGAGAGTCAGGAAGCGTGAAGGTCTGGCGGATGCCTCGTGCACGACAGTAGGCTCGCAGAAGGCCAGAGGAGAACTCTCCGCCTCTGTCAAAGTGTAGACGCAGAACAGGAAAGTCCGAGCCGAAGCTCTGCCTGAGCTGGAGACGAGCTGCGCGGATCCAGTCGATCAACAACTCAATGACATCACCCTTGCTGCGCAAGGGGAAGACTGTGGTGTAACGCGAGTAGTCGTCAACCACCAGCAGGAAGTAGCGCTCGTGACCCTGTCCACGGACGCGGGCCGGGCCCCACACGTCCATGTGAAGCGTCTGCAGCGGGGCCTCTGTCGGAGGAAACTGGGAGGAGTGAGGGACAGCCCGCTGCCGCCCCTCGACACAGGGGACGCAGGTAGGGCCAGGCCCAGGAGGAAAGGGAGGGAGGGACCGGGGAAGACCAGAGACAAGGACACGGGAGGCCATGCCTCGGAGACGAAGCAGGGAGGGGTGACCAAGGCGGTGGTAGCAGAGGAGAGTCTCGTGAGACAGGAGGCGACACGAGCAGGGGGTAGACTCAGGGGCAGACCTGGACGCTGCAGCAAACACCTGACCCGACGCAGCTACCTGACCAGACGCAGTGACTGGAGGAGACGCAGTGGTCAGTGTGTACAGGCTCAACCTCGGCCGACGTGTAAACGTGGCCAGATGTCGGCCTGTCCGAGCGTCCGTGGAGTGGGTCACCCGCTGACGCGCAGGAGTGAACTGGTGAACCCCCGCATCCTGTAGGTCAGCACCACTCACCAAGTTGGTAGAGAACAAGGGGAAGTAAAGACCAGACAAGGTGCCAGAGGGGGCCGCCGGACACGGGAGGACAGTGGAGTAGTGAGCAAGGACAGGACCCCTAGAGGGGTCTGCCAGAGAGACCGCAACTAGTCGGCCAAGCGGCGAGAGTGTGGTGCGGTCTCGAAAGAAGGAGCGAGAAGCCCCCGAGTCAAGGGTGAAGGTGTGGGAGGCCGAAGCCGGCGCAGTACCAGAGAGAGCAGACTCACCAGCACCTGAGGGAGCAGACGCACGAGCACCTAGAGCAGCAGCCTCACCAGTACCTAGAGCGGCAGTCTCAATGCCCGGGTCGGGCGGAAAACACCGGTAACAGTCACCCTCATCACTAATAGCCACAGCATACATGGCAGCAATAATAGCATCAAAGTCAAGGTCAAAGACAGCTACTCCCACCCTAGACAACT